GTACTTTCCTCTAACTTTTTTTTCCCTTCATTATCTAATAGGTGACGGATTTGTTTTCTATAGATTAAAATATCATTGGAGTTTTTACGTCGTCTAAGGCTTTTCTCGGGTTATCTATAATGAACGAGAAGTAATTATATCAATATGGCCATGATTTCATAGTAATGTAATTTCGAAACATACTATATAGGAAACTCACATGTACGAATCATTGTCGAATTAGCCATATCTCATCGAGAAACCACCACCCGTTTTATCAATAAATGCGAAAATTGGATGCTTTAACATTACGTGCGATACGATAAAAAGAATTATCGGTCTATGACGTTATCTGCTTCATTTATAGTTTCTAATATTTTCTTTTATATATTATATTTGCTCAAGTTATGGACCCGCCAAATACCAGCACCAGCAAGAAGTAGACCATCAACAAATCCAAATTTAGCAGGAGTATCTATTTTAGAAGTAAGATTGATCCATTATTAGTATTTCCTGTGATTAAGCATTTCGGAGCTTAAAAAATAACTATTCCAGTATCTGATGTCTTTTTGGACCCACGAGAGAGCTACAAATGTCATTGAAGTTACCGCTGATAATTTCATCATCGATCTATCAAGTCGCTTTAATAAACAATCGTAGCTTGTAGATTTATATTATATAATCTTAAAAAGATTTCGTACATATCCATTCACTATTTATTGCAATAATAAAGTGTGATAGTCTGTTTTTGCTTTGATTAGCTGACTTATGTATATTACTTTGGTCGGAATTTTCCGATTATCGTACACCGGAAATTAAACCGCAACTAGTAGTGGATAATAGCAGAAAACAAAGACTTGTAAGTATGAATTTTTATAAAGTTAGAAAGTTTATAAACTAGATTAGATCCTGATGGGAATCAAATTCATGTTTAAAAGGCTCAAGGTACCATAACAATTTAACTTTATATAAATATAAATAAAAAGATTTGGGAAAGAAATACACAAAATATTAAATGACACAACTCAAGGTATTGATGAACCTTTTTGTGGTAGTTGTTACGGAGGAGAGGCACCAGAAAGTGGATGTTGTAATACATGTGATGAAGTAAGTGAAGCATATATTAAAAAAGGGTGGTCATTTAATGATCCTGATAGTATTAATCAGGTATGTTCGTTTTATTAAAAATATCTCTCAATATATCTTAAGACTTATAATCTCACTTTGTTTTTATTCAAGTGTGTAGAAGTAGGGTGGAAAGAAAAGGTTCTAGTTCAATCAAAAGAGGGTTGTAATGTAGCGGATAGCGTAAGAGTAAATAAAGTCGCTGGCAATTTTCATTTAGCTCCTGGTAAAAGTTTACAACAAAATAATATTCACGTACATGATTTACAACCTTTTTTAAAGTGATAGCGTCAATCATAATTTTACTCACGAAATACATCATTTAAGTTTTGGTCCTAAAGTACAAGGTGCTGTAAATCCGTTAGATCGTATTGGCAGAACTGTTTCTCAAGTATTTTTTTTTTCACATTTAAAATAAAAAGCATCGGGCTTATTATTATTATTATTTTCAGTTAATCGAAAATTATTTATGACATTATATGTTTCAATATTTCGTTAAAGTAGTATCAACACAATTTCACTTTTTGAATCAAATATATACAAATCAATATTCTGTTACTCAATATGAAAGAGATTAATAGAATCATGCTGAATACAATAATAACCCACCAAGACATCAAATATAAATGAAGTTATAGAAGGACCTATGTAATTAATTTCATTAGATTTTTTTTTTTTTTGTTTTTAAAATTAAATTTGTATAAATGCTTTTTTTCAGTTTCCAATTAATTTCAAAAAAATATATTTGCATACTTCCTATTATTTTTGAATTCGAACTTAGTTATTTTTTACTATAATTATTATTATTTCAATTGTTAGATATGGCATCGTAAGATATTTAAGTTAAAATAATCTTTATTTAATTATTCATACATACATTAAAGATATAACAAAAAAAATTAAGAGTACTTCAAAAAACGAAGAAATTTCAACACGAAGAAGGGATCCATCCATAAAACAAAAGCCGAAAAAGCAACTGTAAAGAGCAAAAATAGTAAGGGAAAGATAAAAGAAAGAAAAGTTTTGATAAAACTGATAATTTTTGTGATTGCATATATATTTGTGGTTAAAAGAATAAATAACCTTATATGAAAATAATAATAAAAAAATTAGTAGATAAATAATTCTTTGGGATAAAAGACTCGTGGATAGTTTCGATATAAATATTTGTAAATTTAATTTTAACTAACAAGAAGAGATAAAATGTGGTGCTTGCTAGTTAGTTGAAGGTTTAATTGAAGTTGTAAGTAAGGTTCAGAATCGAAAGTTGGAATCGCCAATGTCGAAAGTCGATTGTAATAACGATTTTGAATCTCTCTCGGGTTTTGACTGCGCCCAAGGGCAAATATTCTGTTATTTAACCACGATCAATAGATGTCAATTCTGAAGAATCTGTTTTGTTGGAATTAACTCTTCGGAATTTTATGATCATTCGGACTCGTCTAATTAGGAAACCACATAAATATTTTCGATTTTATTTATACTTTTGACTAATGAATTAACTTAATAAATAGACACTGAAGCTATGGAAGCTAAGGAAAAGAAAAGTATATTAACATTTGATTTAGATCGTACGTATGATACATAAATGAGAATTTATATGAAATCTTTTTTGATTAAAAAAGTTAAAATAAATAATTTAACAAAATTTAATTTTCCGCAGTATCAGATCAGTCTGCAATATTCGGGATAAGATTTCTGTTGATCTAATTTTGGTCGTGAATAATTCCTTTTATATCATTACTGAATTTTTTTTTCTTTTTTTAAAAAAAAAAATTAATAATGGATGTAAATAGCCATGAAAATGAAATTTCCGTCCTAGTAGAATCTGAATTCAAAAAATTAAATATCTCTGAAAATAATAAATGTTCTTATTGTGATAAACCATTTACAGAGAAATTATGGTGTAAAGAATGTGATCCTTGG